TCTTAGCTCAGAAGATCAGGGAACCATCCATTAACCAGTCTCCTCTCCCTCCCCCATCATGGAAGGCGCAGTTCTCATGATCATGCTTTTTGTCTTTCCTTCATATTTGTTATTGGGGCTTGTAATTATGCATTTGTCTTTATGGTTATTTCATTAATACATCAAACTTCTGCTGTATTTCCAGCATCCAAGGGAGCGTATTTGTTTTGCTCACGTTTATCCCCAAACCTACAATAAATATATGTTTGAAGAATGAGTGAGTGAGTGAGAGTATTGCCATGTAAGCCTCGAGATAGAAGCTTCCAGAAGGAAGTGGTCATAGCTGCAGAGGGGTCCAATGGAGGAAGGCTAGAAAAGTGTACCTAGAGTTTTTGTTCCTTGGATTTTGCAGTTTTAAGATAATGTGGTGTCCTTTACTAGTGAAGTGGAGTCCAGTTAGACTGTAGAGTCCAAAAGTGATGGGAAGGGAGGAAGTGGAGACCTCAGGTATAGATCACTCTTTCACAAAGTTGGCTTAGAAAGGATGGAGGGTAGTGGTTGGAAACTAGAGTAGTATTTCAGGGCTGAGGAATGAGTGCTTTTAAAAAATTGCTGACTCAGTGCCTGTAGCGCAGTGGTTACGGCACCAGCCACATACACCGAGGCTGGCAGGTTCGAACCTGGCCCGGGCCAGCTAAAACAACAATGACAACTGCAACAAAAAATAGCTGGGCATTGTGGCAGGCACCTGTAGTCCCAGCTACTTGGGAGGTTGAAGCAAGAGAATCGTTTAAGCCCAAGAGTTGGAGGTTGCTGAGAGCTGTGATGCCACCGTACTCTACTGAGGGTGACATAGTGAGACTCTCTGTCTCAAAAAAAAAAATTGCTATTTGTTTTTTAAGAATGGGGGAGACTTCTGTGTATTTAGAGCAGTGATACTCAACTGGTGTGCCATGGCATGCTGGTGTGCTATGGAGGATTTTAGGTGTGCTCCAAAAAATTTTAAAGGCCATTAATTAAATTATTTTCAAAAGAAGTTTCAAGCACAATAAATATATTCTTTTTTTCCACTCTATTTTTTTGATCTACATAATTTAAGTGTGCTGTGGAAGTTTAACTAAAGGTTCAAGTGTGCCGTGAGATTAAAAAAGGTTGAAAAACACTGGCTTAGAGCCAGAGGAGAGAGCGGGGCCCTCCTGAAGGGGAGCAGTTGAAAACCACAGAGAGGATTTTTCTGCTGAAGCAAGGCGTGGAGGGATGGATGGGGCAAAGGAGAAGGGGTTGTCCTTGCATAGGAAAAGGGACATCTCATCCTTTCAGGCTGGAAGGAAGAATGGCCGCAGATGCAGAAAGGCGTATATGGGGGCGGTCTGTGTGGTCTCAGGTCTCTTGAAAAAGTAAAAGGGGGAGGCGCCTGTGGCTCAAAGGAGTAGGGCACTGGCCCCATATGCCGGAGGTGGCAGGTTCAACCCAACCCTGGCCAAAAACAGCAAAAAAAAAAAAAAAAAAGTAAAAGGGGACATTTTCTTCTGAGAATGAGGGGTTTGGAGGTTGGTAGATGACTGGGGGAGAATGACAAGGACTCAGGGAATCATGGACTGTGAGCTAAGCAAGAAGCAAGGCCAGTTAAAGATTCGCCAGGTCTCCCGAGGGCTCAGCTGTGGGTGAAATTCATGAATTTCTGATGGCAGCTGTCTGTGGAGGTGTGCGATTTTTCTCCGGGAGAGTATGCCAGCCCCATCTAGGAGTACGCATCTAGAGGGAGCATTTCCTGAATGGGGCAATGGAAAGAAGTGTAGGGGAATTCGGAGTGTTGGGAATACCATAAAAGAAGGTGATAGGAGGAGAGTGGGTGGCTAAGGAGCACTACTTTGTTCCTCTGCTGAAAGTTTTGGTGACCTGTCCACCTTTTTTTCCTCCTTAGTCTCTTTCTGTCTGTTCCCCTCCCTCTGAACGTTTGCCCTGAAGGTCCTTGCATTTAATGAAGGAAATAGCCTATAAAAAGTAGGTGCAATTAATGGCGTCGGTGCCTGACAACATTGTGAACTTAGGGGAAGAAAGAATCACTTCCCCCTGATTTAATAGATGAATGATTCATAAACCAGCTTTAACAAAGGGAGGAACCCAGGCAGTGCCTGTGGCTCAAAGGAGTAGAGCGCCGGCCCCATATACTGGAGGGGGTGGGTTCAAACAAAACCCCGATGAACTCCATCGGGGAGTCTGGGAAGGCGTCACAAAGTGGGCAGATATTTGAGCTGCAATTAGAAGGTGTATGAGCACTGGGGATGTGTTGTGGTGGGGAACAACTCTGGAGGGACTGGTAAGGATGAAAAGGACCATGCAGACAAAGACGTACTCAAGATAAAGGCACAGTGGCTTGGAAGGTCACAGTACATTTGGAAAATGGCAGGAAATTGCAGGCGTAGCGAAGGAGATGGGATAGGTAGGTCAGCAGAGCGGTAGAAGTTTGGGGTCACCTTGTCCCTGTTTGGATTTTATTCCGTAGCCCAATAGGGAATGATCGAAGGTTTTTGAAGATGCAGTGTTCATTTTAACACTAATAGCTAAGTTGTTATTATCGTTAAGTTGTTATTCCAGGTACTAAGCTTTAATATGTTATCTTTTAAAATTATAGTGGATCTTCATAATGATCCAACTGTGATGAGGAGTTCTTAGTATTTTTCCCAGTTACCAAGTGAGGAAGCTAAAGCTTGAATGGGGTAGATAACTGTGATCAAGGTCTCCCAGCCAAAAAATAGGTGAACTAGAACTCAAATCCAGGTCTGGCTAATTCTAAATCTACACGTTAAATCTCTTTAAATTCATTTCCACCTTCCATTTTTAAGAACTGGATCTTGAGTGATGAATAATGATTTTTTCATATCGATGGGTTAGAGTAGGGGTTTAAAAGGGTGGGAACTGAGGGGTAAAGGCCTTTTAGGCAGAGGAACAGCCTTTGCAAAGACACAGAAGGAATGAAAAGTTTAGCCGGTCAAAGTTGTAAGGCAAGCGATGGATGAACCTGAAGTCATCTTGGTCTTTAGGATGGGTCAGATTCTTATGAGCTTTTATGAGTGAGCTCAGTCTTGGTGTCCTCCTTTTAAGAGGAATGTGGACAAACAAGATTATCTAGAGAGGAACTGGAAAAATAATTGAAAGCAGGCAGAGGTACAGGCAGTAGAACTAATGACTCATAACTGTCGGAGACAGGAAAGGTTGACGGTGTCGGCAGGACTGAAGACGTGTCTTGATGATGGTATCTAACACGCACTGAGGACTTGCTGTGAGCTGGGCAGGCTGCTCAGCCTTGCACGTGTTTTAACTCTTTTAATCCTTACCCTGACCTTCTGAGCAGTGCTATTTTCAGTCCCAGAAGGGTGAGGAAACTGAAGAAATACAGCAACTTGCTAGGCAGTTACTGTATTTGAACCCAGACCCTCTGGCTGAGGGTACTGTGTGCACAATCACTACACCAGCCTGTCTATGCAGAGGGATTTCTGGTTTTCAGGACCGTGTATGGGTTTGTTCTCTGAAGCTTTGCTGCTCTGGGCCAACAGAAGGGTCTTCTGGCCTTGAAGGTGTCTGAGCATTGGGAATGTGTTGTGAGGAGGGAACGACAGAAGGATTGTTTCATTTAGGTGGAGAGGAAGCAGGAGAAACAAGGTGCTGGTGACTAATTCCCTAAAACATGGCTCCCTGGTGAAAGATAAGTTTCTACTTACTGTTCTCTGAAAGCAGAAGGGATTGGCCAGAAGAAAGTACTGGCTCTTTAGGGAGATGGAGTGTCAAAGTGACTGGGGAAAGAATACCAACAGCCCCTGGTTATGAACGAGATGGGTTCTGAAGGTTTGTTCTTAAGTTGAATTTGTATGTTTGTTGGAACAGGGACATTTACCTATTACCTGTAATAGTCTCCTTCGTAAGTGCGAGTCATATGTCAGTTGGATGTTTATAACTTGGAGACGGCCTGTAAGGCTCTAGAGCAGTGATTTTTAACCAGTGTGCCCTGAGAAAATCTTAGGTGTGCCGTGCAAATTTTTAAAGATCATAAATTAAATTATTTTCGAAAGAAGCACAGTAAGATAGATTCTTTTTATGACTCTTTTTTTAGTCAACGTAATTTAAGTGTGCCACAGAAGCTCAGCTAGGGGTTCGTGTGTGCCGTGAGATAAAAACGGTGGAAAAGCACTGCTCTGGAGGGTTTAAAAATGCTATCTTATTTTTATACTGTAGAATGTATTTACTTATTCCATTGTCTTCCCCCTGATTTAATAGATGAATGATTCATAAACCAGCTTTAACAAAGGGAGGAACCCAGGCAGTGCCTGTGGCTCAAAGGAGTAGAGCGCCGGCCCCATATACTGGAGGGGGTGGGTTCAAACAAAAGGAGGGACCCTAAAAAGATATACAACTATTATATACTCATAATAATGAACAATTTAAAGAAAAGAGAGGAAAACTAGATAGAACCTGGGGCAGTTGTTAAAAATTCTTAGAAAAAAATGTTTGCCATTCTTGTTATCTCTTCTCATTTTGCCAGGGATTGAGGTGGTGGTAGCTTCATGCCACCATGGTGCTGAACCCAAGATAAGTCCCTTAGACCACAAAAGCTGCCGAATTCCCGGAGTATATGTGTTTGTGTGTGTGTGTGTCTTGTCTGGTGGAGGAACTGAAAGAGGGTGGGTGATGTCACCTTTTAGTTTGCTGGGGGCAGACCACATGTTTGTACTTAATTGAACCACAAGTCTGTGTTTGGAAAAATACTGATATGACCAGGTTTTCTATTCTATCTAAGCAGGCAGTCTGTGATTTAAGACTGCAAAATGCTAAAAATGCTTTCCTTGATTAATGCATACATCAGCTCCTTGTTCCTCGTGGGCCTGCGTAAGAAGATAGTTATGTCTCTGCCTTTTTGATGAGAGCCCTAAAAATGATAAATAGCATCTCTGTATTGTTCACTTACATGCATGTAATCCATCCAAATGAATGCGTTTTTAAGTGTTTGGGCTTGCTTTTATTAGGTGTTCATATCGTCCTTTCCTTGGAGATTCATGCAGATGCCCATGTCCGAGGTTATGTTGGAGAGAAGATCAAGTTGAAGTGCACCTTCAAGTCAACTTCAGCTGTCTCTGACAAGCTGACCATAGACTGGACATATCGCCCTGCCAGTAGCAGTCGCACAGAATCAGTAAGTGTGTACTTTCCAGAAAGTTTCTCTGACTCTCCTGTGGTCAACTTGAGGAATCTTTATATTACAAGTCATGTGAGTCCTTCTCATCTTAGAGCAGAAGATGGGCTTCAATTTAAATGGAAGGAAATAGGCTGGGTGTGGCAGCTCACGCCTGTAATCCCAGCACTCTGCGAGGCTGAGGCGAGTGGATTGTCTGAGCTCAGGAGTTCGAGACCAGCCTGAGCAAGAGTGAGACCCCTATCTCTAAAAAATAGCTGGGCGTTGTGGTGAGCACCTGTAGTCCCAGCTACCAGGGAGGCTGAGGCAAGGGCATCATTTGAGCCCAGGAGTTTGAGGTTGCTGTGAGCTGTGATGCCACGTACTCTCCCGAGGGCAACAAAGTGAGACTCTGTCTAAATAAATAAATAGAAGGAGATGAGCTTTTACACTATCTGACATTCCTCTGGTCATATAAGGCTTTTTATTCTTCTGCCTAAGCATCTTGTAAATAACTTGCAGGAAAAAAATTGTCAGAAAGTCAGAGGAAACGTGGTTTAATTTTGTTTCCTCTGTTGTTTCTTTTTGCATAGTTTCATAGATTCATCTTTAGGCCTGATGTGCAAAAAAGGCCACCCCCAGGACTGTTAGCTAGGAAAATACAGTAGGTCCCGGGCACAGACATCCTTTCTCTTAAGGCTGCTCATTTTCTGTTATAGGTTGTCTCAGTGGGTGGGTTTGTTTGAGAATCCATGCTCTGCGGGTTTATCTTGGCATTTCCAGTGTGTAAACATCTGCATTGGTTTATACAGCTGCTTTTGAAGGAAAGGGGGGTACCTTGTGTCGGGGTCAGATGCCATCGGTGACAGCTGGCCTCGCCACATACTTTAGTCACACATATAAAACACAATTATGGTCCCAATCCCATTGTGGGTATCTAATTGAAGATTACAGTGCTATAAAAACTCTCTTTATGCTCCCAGCAGTATTATCCTCAGCTCAGGACAGATGTTATTCAAGAACGTGAATGTCACAGCTGTATATATAAGATTGCATTTTTGAAAGTAAGCTGAATTTATGGATTGTGTTTTCTTCGTTGGAAAACTTTCTCTTTGATTGTAATGTATATGCTTTGAATTCTGTTTTAGGAGCCATTGTGGAATGCCACATAGCGTGGAGGGAGGTAGGCAACTCCAGTGAAGGCAGCGAGGCTGTATTCGTGGTGTCTTTTTTTCTTTAGACTTGAAACAGGTCACTTTATTCTGAGTGGTGAGGAAACTATGGCTGGCTTTATTTGGCTCTCCCTCCTTGGTCAAAAGTAGGACACAGCAAGCAATGCAGAGCTACTTGGGTCAGAAACCTTGAGTGCAAATAGCAGTTTTCTCTTAGCATTGCTCTCTGTGAGGCTAATCAGAAAATTAGCAAACTCTCCCAAGTTAGAATTAAAGTCACACACATGTTGAAGTTCTGTGGTTCATCAGTTCTGTGGTTCATCATTCTGTCAGATTAATCAATTTGCAAGGACTTGAATATCATGAATTTAACATGAAATTTATAGGTTAGATTCATCTTTTTTTTTTTTTTTTTTTTGGAGACAGAGCCTCAAGCTGTCCCCCTGGGTAGAGTGCCGTGGCATTACAGCTCACAGCAACCTCCAACTCCTGGGCTCAAGCGAGTCTCCTGCCTCCGCCTCCCAAGTAGCTGGGACCACAGGCGCCCACCACAACGCCCGGCTATTTTTTGGTTGCAGCCGTCATTGTTGTTTGGCGGGTCTGGGCTTGGGATTTGAACCCGCCACCTTAGGTGTACGTGGCTGGCGCCTTAGCCGGTTGAGCTATAGGCGCCGAGCTGTTAGATTCATCTTAAAGGATACACAGCAGGCTTTGTTTTGTCAATAAGGAGTTTCATACTCTTTTACACTGATGTTGATAATCAGTGGTAGGCGTCCTTTATCTCCTCAAAAAATGGAACAATCAGCGACCATCACACGTGTTATTTCTTACCATCTGTGTTTACCTGGAATGTAAGTTCTGTGAGAGTAGGGCCTGTGCCTGCCTGGCTCCCACTGTGTCCTTTTACTTAACACAGTACCTAACCCATTCTGGGCGTGTGCCAAATATTTGTTGAATGAATGCATGAACAATTGAACCAATAAGATTGAGCACCTTCTCCGTGAAGTTGCTCTTCAAAATTGGGCAATTCAGTGACTATAAATGCCTGGCTTCCTAAGTGGGAAGTTACTAAGTAAACAAAGAAAGAGGAAAGCCTGTGTCTTGCACAAGAGAGAGAAGTCATTGTTTTATAGTACCCGCCCGGCCTGGTTCCAGGTATAATTAGGTGCTTTTGGTGAGGCAGTGTCAGAGGTTACCAAGTCTGAAGCAGCATTGTTTTAATTCAACATACATTCATGGAGGACTTATCATGCCTGTGACATAGGGTTTGTATTAATAGCCGAGATGGATCGCTTGAGAAAGTCTGAATTCTATTACACTCTCTTGGTGATTTTGTCAATAAACAGAATCTCCCATTTGACACTTGCTAGGTGTGTACCTTTGAGTAAGTCACTTAGTTTTTTGTTTTGGGCTTTGTTTGTTCCCCTCTTCGCAAATTTGGAACAATTATGCGTGTTTCAGATGGTTCAGTGTTGTCATGAGGCTCAAGAGAGAGATGTGTGGAAGTCACCGCAGGCTATAAAGTACTGTGCAAGAATTAGATGCCACTTTAAAACAAGGTTTCTCCGACTTGGCACTGTTGACCTTTGAGGTGGATGACTCTTGCTGTGAGGAACTCTCCTATGCATTGTAGGATGGTTAGCAGTATCCCTGGACTCCACCCACTGGATGCCAGAAGTTTCTCTCCCCAATTCTGACTACCAAAAATGTCTCCAGACATTTCCAAATGTCTCCTGAAGAGTGAAATTGCCTCTGGTTGAGAACTAGTGCTTTGGGACTTTAGGGAGAACTGAGATTCAGGGGTTAGGATCCCAGGATTCTCTCATCGGGCCTTTTTCTGATTACCATTTTTATTATACTATCACCTTACCTGTAGGATAGAGGTAGGAAAAGCATTAAAAAATGGCCTAGGCTCGGCGCCTATAGCTTAACCGGCTAAGGCGCCAGCCACGTACACCTAAGGTGGTGGGTTCGAATCCCCAGCCCGGACCCGCCAAAACAACAATGATGACTGCAACCAAAAAATAGCCGGGCGTTGTGGCGGGCGCCTGTGGTCCCAGCTACTTGGGAGGCAGAGGCAGGAGACTCGCTTGAGCCCAGGAGTTGGAGGTTGCTGTGAGCTGTGATGCCACGGCACTCTACCCAGGGGGACAGCTTGAGGCTCTGTCTCAAAAAAAAAAAAAAAAAAAAAAAAAGGCCTAAACGGAAAAAATAAATCCCACCACGATACAGTTGTATTTTATTTCGAATCTGCTTAGCTTTACTTGTTCATTGCATTTTTCCAATTAACTTTTCCCCTCACGGTGTTGCTTTCTTAGGTTTTTCATTATCAGTCTTTCCAGTACCCAACCACAGCAGGCACATTTCGGGATCGGATTTCCTGGGTTGGAAATGTGTACAAAGGGGACGCATCTATAAGCATAAGCAGCCCTACCATAAAGGACAATGGGACATTCAGCTGTGCTGTGAAGAACCCCCCAGATGTGCACCATAATATTCCCGTGACAGAGCTGACAGTCACAGAAAGGGGTAAGCAACTGCCACCAACCTTCTGCAGGGCTCGGCCCGGGTTCCTTCTGGAGAGCTCGGTGAGAGGCAAAGTTCTATCTTTGTAAGCCAGTTGGGTCAGTGGATCGTTGTGTCCAAATCGTTTTTCTGCCATCCTGATGTGTCTGTCAAGATACAGTTTTTATCTTTATCTTGAAAACTTCAAATATTGTCATAGTTTTTCCATTATCCCTTTTTCATTTTCGCCTTAGGTGGCCAAAGGTCTTGTGGAATGTACGGCAACCCCCTGAGTAAATAGAGGGTGGTGGTTTCTGTGCCGTAGACATCATTCCAGTTTCCCTAATAAGGGAACTCCCAGTTAAATAAGATAATTTTCTTGCCTGTGTCTTAGAAGGATGCCCTCTAACGATGGGGCGAATCTCTTCTGTGATACAGAGAGCAGTAGTTTCCTTTTAGTGTGAAACAGGAGGAGAGTGGGTTAAGGACTCCTTGGTGGCTATTCAGTGGTCAATCTAGTCCTCAGTGGGATTTGAATCCAAGATCTAGAGATGCAGGATGGTTCATTGTGGATGCCTTGTCATTTCTCAATTCTTCATCAAGTTTTCCTCACTCCTTCTCTTCTACCTTCTCTCTTCCCTCCCTTTCTCTTCCCTCTTTCCCTCCCTTCCTTGTCTTCCTCCTTCCCTCTCCCTCTTTCTTGCTTTCTTTCTCCTTCCTCTTCTTCTTTTTTAAAAAGAGAATAACTTGTAGATTTCAATGACATGAGCACACTCATGCGGCTGGAAGGAATAGAAACTGATACAGTTTGTTAGTATGAAGCTGGTGCCTTTAAAGAAAATACCTTTTTGATCCAGTCATTCCATTTTCTATTTTATCTTAAAGAAGGAGAGATAAACATGAAGATTTATGTGCCAAGATTGTCATCCTAATACAGTTTACAGATACAAAGAATTTGAAACAATTTGAATGTCAAGATTAGGGAATTGAGTCCATAAATCATTCAATATGGTAGAAGGATATGGCAGCCATTAAACAGCCCATCTGGAAGCAATCATTAAAATATCTATCATATCATAAGTTTAAAAGGAGGTTAGAAATAGTATATAAAATATGATCCATACTTCCAAAAATATATACCCCCACCCAATACCCCTTGATTGAAGATTGAACAGCTAGATACCAAAGTGTTATTTTGGGGCAGTGGGATTATGGGTCAATTTTTATTCTTCACTGTACTTTTCCGTTTTTCTACCCTTTTCACAAAGATACGTTCCTTCTGTAATCAGAAGAAATATGAATGTGAAAGTAGAACCTGGCTCGTGTTGCAGGATGCACTCTGGCAGGCCCTCGCCTTCACCTCCTCTCTCTCCACCCCCAGGTTTTGGCACCATGCTCTCCTCTGTGGCCATCCTTTCCATCCTCGTCTTTGTGCCCTCCGCAGTGGTGGTGGTCCTGCTGCTGGTAAGAATGGGTCAGAAGGCTGCCGGGCTGAGGAAGAGGAGCAAGTCTGGCTATAAGAAGTCATCTATCGAGGTTTCAGACGAGTAAGTCCAGCTGGGGCCCGGAGCAAAGAACTCATTTCCTCTTCAGGGACTCCCAGATCCCTACATCCACCACCTTCGTTTTTTTCCAGGACGAGTTTAGTTCTGCAGTGAAGTTTCTTTTTGAAGAGAATAGCTCTGTGGAGGAGGAAGAAAAAGGAAGGTTGGAAGCGAAACTTGTGGATAGGAATTTGGAGGGAAATGGAGGCGTTGAGAGTATGGTTCTAGTCTTCTCAGAAGTCAGATTGTACAATGTCATGGTTTTGAATATAAATTCTGAAGTAGATAATTTCATTATTACAAAATGACAAGGACATTCTAAGTTAGTTATTTTCTCTTCTCCTTGTTTTTTTTTTGCAGTTTTTGGCCGAGGCTAGGTTTGAACCCGCCACCTCCGGCATATGGGGCTGGCGCCCTACTCCTTTGAGCCACAGGCGCTGCCTGAGAAGTCTTTTTCTTTTCTTTTTCTTTCTTTTTTTTTTATTAAATGTTAGCTGTGTACATTAATGTATTCATAGAGTACAGTGTGGTGTTTTCATATACAATTTGAAATATTTTCATCAAACTGGTTAACATAGCCTTTATGCCATTTTCTTAGGTATTGTGTTAAGACGTTTATATTCTACTTTTAGAAAGATTCACTTGTACCCTTGAAAGATAAACCATAGTCTTTTTTTTTTTTGAGACAGAGTTTTACTATGTCACCCTTGATACAGTTCCTTGGTGTCATAGCTCACAGCAACCTCCAACTCCTGGGCTTAGGTGATTCTCTTGCCTCCTGAGAAGCTGGGATCACAGTGCCTGCCACAATGCCTGGCTATTTTTTGTTGCAGTTTAGCCGGGGTCTGGTTCGAACCTGCCACCCTTGGAATATGGGGCTGGCGCTAAGCCATAGGCACTGCCCCAAAAATGATTTGAAAAAGCAGGATCAGTTCTTGTTTAGCATATGTTCTGAAGGGCTGAATGGAGTGTGGTATCAAAAGGATTTATTAAACTTTATTATGCCAATGAGCATTCCCTAAAAACAAATGTACTTAAAGAAAATAGTAGCAAAAATCTACTAAAAACCCCTGTTGGTTTTCTAGTGTTTCTGTACTGGGGGTTCTTAACCCAGGGAAGAAAGGTCTACATTGAGAAGGTCCCCAGTTTCCCTTCTCTGTGTGTAGATGAGTGTATGTGCATCTATTTAATGGAGAGAAAGTGCCCCGTGCCCTTTACAAGGAATCTGTGGCCCCTAAAAGGTAAATAATTCTTTTTTTTTTTTTTTGAGACAGAGCCTCAAGCTGTTGCCCTGGGTAGAGTGCTGTGGCATCACAGCTCACAGCAACCTCCAACTCCTGGGCTTAAGCAATTCTCTTGCCTCAGCTTCCCAAGTAGCTGGAACCACAGGTGCCCGCCACAACACCTGGCTATCTGTTGGTTGTAGTTGTCATTGTTATTTGGTGGGCCTAGGCTGGATTCAAACCCACCAGCTCTGGTGCATGCGGCTGGTGCCTTAGCCACTTGAGCTACAGGCGCTGAGCTGTAAATAATTCTTCATAACAATGCTAATGTCTAGTTATTTCTAAGCATGTTATATAAAACTTTTACCATCTTCCTCTAATACATTGTTTCCTGAACTTTCTTCTTATTCACCTCCCATTCTAGTTATAGTGAGTTTATTTTTCCCCTTAAACACACTATACTTATTCAAATCTCCTCACTCTCCACCATCAATACTTTTCTCTTGCCTGGAATGCCCTCAGTGCCTCACTTGCTTACCTGGAAACTCTTTGAATGTCCTCCAAGACCCAACTGAAATAGCCCCGCCCCTTGAGTTTCTTTGAGTCCTCCAGGGAGAATTAGTCACTCCCTGCTCTCTGCTGCCACAGCAGTTTGATCTTAACTCAATTAAAACATTTATCACATTGTATTATAATGTACTGGTTAAATTTTCTTTTTCTTTTTGATTTTTTTTTTGAGACAGAGTCTCACTATGTCACCCTCAATAGAGTGCCATAGTGTCACAGCTCACAGCAACCTCTAACTCCTGGGCTTAAGCGATTCTCTTGCCTCAGCCTCCCAAGTAGCTGGGACAGAGGCACCCACCACAATGTCCAGCTATTTTATTGTACTTGTCACTGTTGTTTGGCAGGGTTTGAACCCGCCAGCAAGGGTGACATAGTGAGACTCTATCTCAAAAAAAAAAAAATTGGGGCCTTCCAATGTGGAATATCTTATTGATAAAAGATATCAAGATACTGAACCTGCCAGGCCTGGTGTATATGGCCAGTGCCCTAGTTGCTGAGCTACAGGTGCCGAGCCTATACTGGTTAAATTTTCACAGGTCCCTCATTCCATGAGGTTGTGAGCTCTTCACAGGCCTGAGATTATCTATCTCTTTATCTGCAGCATAGCACAGAGCCTCAGACATTGTCCGTGCTCAGTTCCTTTCTGAAGGAATGATTATGACTAGCTCCTATTTTCTGAGCACTCACTGTGTGTTGGAAACTATCGTATGTGTTTCAGATGGGTTTCTTTTTTATTTCTAACAACTATGCTTTAAGGGTAAATGGTACTATCTGCATTTATAGATGAAGAAACAGGCTGTCGAAACACAAGTCATTTTTTGCCCAGTCACCTAGCTAGTAAGTGGCAGAACTGGAATCTAAATGCAGCCATGTCTGATACTTGTGCTTTTAACCATACTGAGGACAGTGATGATTCAGGTCTGGTGTGTCCTTTCTCTGCAGCACTGACCAGGAGGAGGAAGAGGCATGTATGGCGAAGCTGTGTGTCCATTGTGCTGAGTGCCTGGTAAGTTCAGGCCATTCCTTCTGCTACTATTGACAGCTCACTTTCCTGCTTACTTAAGGGGGTCAATCTTTTGCCTTCTGGGGCAGCAGAGGATATGCAGGTAGGTCTAAGCAAGGTATGAACCAATGTCTTCCCCTAAAGCATAGCGATTTTGGGGGACCCCTACTAGCTATAGCTATGACTTCATTTTCTATCGTGTGGGCGTAGAGTGGTATTCTTAGGTTAGGGGAGAGGGCTGTATGGAGCAATCTGTGCTGGTTGACTGAAAATCTTGAAAGAAGAGTGGCCTCTGCCCCTGAATTTATACTGGGAGACTTGACTGACTGGATCCAGATCCTGAATTTAACTTTTCTGCTGAGAGCCTTGGTATTTTCTAGGGAGTTTAAGTGATATAACTTTTTGGATATCTTGATGTCTTTTATCAATAAGAAATTCCACATTGGAAGGCCTGAGTTTTTTTTTTTTTTGAGACAGAGTCTCACTATGTCACCCTTGGTAGAGTGCCGTAGCATCACAGCCCACAGCAACCTCAAACTCTTGGGCTTAAGTGAATCTCTTGCCTCAGCCTCCTAAGTAGCTGGGATTATAGGCAGCAGTCACAATGCCCAACTATTTTTTTGGTTGCAGTTGTCATTGGTCTTTAGCAGGCCTGGGTGGGGCTGGGTTCAAACCCGACAGCCTTGGTGCATGTGGCTGGTGCCCTACTCACCTAAGTTTTGATTTAAATCTCAAAAGGCTATAATCCCTCTTCCTTTGAGCACCAGCAGTGACTAATAAGCTTGTGTGGCTGTCCTAGGATCCTAAGAGGAGGAAAGACTTTCTGATGTGGTGAAGTTGGAAACAGGTCAAAGCAACTTAACAATCTAATATGAAATATACCTGTCACTGGAGGGCTTAAAATTGACTCCCCTTTGTACTTATTGCCAAGCTTGGCACTTGGCCAGATGATCCCAGCCCAGTGTTCTTTTTTCTTTTTCTCTCATGAACTTGAATATCAGAGGTCAGATGAGAGAACGGTTGATAGTGCCAGTGGAGAGGATCTAATACCAACCCTTCGGGGTGTGTTAATGTTCATATGGCTATTATTCACATTTCAGACATGAATTCATCCAGTGGTTATTTATTGAGCATCCAACGTGTGCCACATGCATTATTCTAGGTACTTAGGAAACAGCAGTGAATAAAACTGATAACAATTTCTACCCTCAAAGAACTTAATATTCTTTGCCTGAAATATTCTTTCTCGTCTTTTAAGAAATAGTTGAAATGTCACCTTCTCTTAAATTTGGGTGCAAACACTAGATTTTTAAAAAATAAGTCAAATATATAGTATGTCATGTATCCGATGGTGCTTAATGCTATGGAGAAAACTAAAACAAAAGGGGGGTGGGGGGGTTGGATAGAGGGTGTGATATTAAATAGGATGGTTAGGGACCTGGGGGCGATGATACTTGAACAGGCACCTAAAGGAAGCAAGCTTTATGGTTATTGTGCCAAGAGTGTTTCAGGCAGAAGAAATGGCAGGTGCAAATGGCTTTGAGGAGGGGTCGTGAGTGGCCTGTTCTAGGAATGGCAAGAAGGCAGCGTGCCAAGAATGAAGAGAGCGAGACCAAGAATAGTGTTTGTTTAGAATCAGAGAGATAATGTGGCAGCCAGATCTTATGGAACTTTATAGAAGATTACAATGACCTGGGCCTCATGCTTTTAATCCATTAGAGGGATTGAGAGCTGATGCGTATTTTAAAGCATTACTCTGGCTCTTGTGTTGAGAATGAAGGGTAAGGGACAGTCAGAGTCAGAGAGCCCAGTTAGGAGGTATTTGCAATAAGCCCGGTGGGAGAAGATGCTGGACCATGGTGGTGGCAGTGATAGAAGTGGTAAGAATTGGTTGTACTCTGATTATAGTTTGACGGTGAAGCCAAAAGGGTTTACTGATACTGCATGTATATGTGCAGAAATGAGAGGGTCAAGGACAATTCCAAGGTTCTTGACTTGAGCCACTGATAGAGTAGAGTTGCCACTTTCTGATATATGGAATTCTGTGGGTGGAACAAGTTTTAGAAGGAAGATCAGAAGTTGCATTTTGGGCATACTATGTTTGAAATACTAAACTTCCACGTGGAGCTGTGGAGTAGGCAATTGTGGGTGTGGAATTCAGCAGAGGGGGTTAGGAGCTACTGGCAGATAGAGACTGATAGGGACATTTCCACCCAGGAAATGAGTGTAGATAGAGAAGAGGTCAAGTGACTGAGTGTGGAGCTCTCCAAGCTTTCTAGGACGGGGCAATGTAGAGGAATTAGTGAAGGAGGCTGAGATGGATTATTCAGTGAGTTAGGAGGGAAGTCAGGAGAGTTTGGTATCCTGGGAGAAGTGAAGAAAGTGTTTCAAGGATAAGAGAGAGATTAACTGTCAGTGCTTCTGAGTCAGGTGAAGTAAAATGTGAGATTACTGTTTGATCTGGTAATGTGGAGGTCAACAGTGACCTTAGCAAAGGAGGTTCAGTACAGTAGTGGAGAAGAAGCCTGCCTAGGGAAGGGTCAGGAAAGATGCAGAAAGATGCGTTGGAGTCATGGGTATCCACAGAAATTCCAGAGTTTTGCTGTGGAGAGAGCAGAGAAATAGGGTAATAGGTAGACGGAGGTGTGTATCAAGAGTTACTTTTCTTTTTAAGATGGGAGAGATTGAGCGTATTTTTATGCTAACGGGAATGATCAAGTAGAGAAGGACAAATGGATGCTACAGGAGAGAAAGGGGGAGAATTGCTGGGGGTGACGCCAGGCTCTAGCGCACAAGTGGAGATGGCCTTAGCAAAGGCAGCGAGGGTGCGTAACAACAGTAGGCAAGGCCAAGTAGGTGGGCCCAGGTGCTTGTGAGTGGGCAAAAACCATGATGGAGCTTCTGGAAGTTCTCTACTGATCACTTCTCTGTTTTCAGTGGTGGGAGAGAGCGAGGTCATCAGCTGAGAAAGATAGCCAGAGGGTAAGGTAGGAAACAGTCATGTGAAATAGGAGAATGAATGGACTAGAGAAAGGTGGCCTGCCAGGTAGAGCTAGGGGCCCACTTGAAGTTAGGAGTAATGGCTATGAGTTTGAATGAGAAGAGTAAGAATAATAGTAATAGGAGCTCATCTCAAATGAGTGCTTACAAAGCGCCAGACGCAGTTCTAAGCTATTTACATATTTTTCTCATCTGATTCTCAAAACAGTTCCATGAGGTGTATGTCTATTATCCCCATTTTATACATGGGGAAACTAAGGCTTAAAGAAATTAAATACTTTTACGTAAGGTCACAGCCAGCAAAAGTTGACGCTAAGAGGTAGCTCACTCCTAGCCTCAACTTCTAACCACAACCCTGCACATTCTGCTGTAGACAGGGACCTGTTCTTGTGTGTTGAGGTTTTAAAAGATATTCACAGAAGTAAAGAAAATTGGCTCGATGCCTGTGGCTCAAGTGGCTAAGGCGCCAGCCACATACATCTAGGGTGGCGGGTTCGAATCCAGCCCGGGCCGCCAAACAACATGATGGCTGCAACCAAAAAATAGCCAGGCATTGTGGTGGGCACCTGTGGTCCCAGCTACTTGGGAGGCTGAGGCAGGAGACTTGCTTGAGCTCAGGAGTTGGAGGTTGCTATGAGCTGTGATGCCACAGCACTCTACCCAGGGGGACAGCTTGAGGCTCTGTCTCAAAAAAAAAAAAAAAAGTAAATTACCAGGGCTTCAAAGTGGAAATTCACCCAATATACACTCATTATATTGAGGTTGTGATGCTTCATGGGAATTTAGGTGTGTTGAGCCAGTGGTATGTCACCGTTGTCTCCTCAAGCCAAGTTCCATTTGGAGATCTTAACATGTGGTCTTTAAATTCTGACTGGGGTATTGTACTTCATATTCACAATACACCTGCTGTTCTTTCCCCTCCAGGATTCAGACTATGAAGAGACATATTGATGAAAGTCTGCATGATCTAAGAAGAATCACATAGTAACAGATAACATCCCATTCCACCGGCAGCTAAAGCCTCTCAGAAAAGTGAAGCTGGCCCGGACAGCCTAGAAGATCTGGAGGTCATCAGTAAAGACTTTAGGAACCTTTTTTTTTTTTAGACAGGGCTAGAGTGCAGTGGCATCATCATAGCTCATTGCCTCACTGTGACCTCAAACTCCTGGGCTCGAGTGATCCTTCCGCATCAGCCTCCTGAGTAACTGGGACTACTGGTGTGTTCCACCGTGCCTAGCTAATGCTTGAATTTTTTGTAGAGACATGATCTGGCTATGTTGTTCAGGCTGGTCTCAACCTCCTGGCTTCAAGCGATCCTTCTGCCTTGATCTCCCAAAGTGCTAGGATTACAGACGTGAGCCACCGCGCCCTACAGGAAGTGCTTATTTATTGAAGAAAAAACATTCTTGTATTTATAAGCTGCTCAAAAACTCTCAGAAGAGACTCATGACTTCCCCTTTTAATAAGTTATGTTCTGACTGAATGAAGAGATTCTTTTCCTGAGAAAAGAGATACTTTGGGGTTCTCCTTTGCTCTCGAATGTATTACATGTTTCCTTCCAGTTATTTGAAGGAGAATTCTGAATGTTTGCCACAGTCCTGATGCCAAGATCATTTTTAAGTGAAGTGGAGCTTGTAGCTTCCTGGTGTGCTACCAGACACAATGTTTGTTTGGGAGAGATGTTCTTTGTTTTTTTGCTCCGTGCACACTTTTAGTTGTGAGTTAGTATAAAACATACACTCATTGGTTCAGCGGCCTCATGCTCAATGGTATTGTATTTCGACGACTTGCAATGTCTAACCTGAATTTCTTTAGAGTTGGGAGAATCAGGAGTCATTGATTTGCTTTGACTGGGTTTTTAAAGTATTAAATAAAGTGTCGTCAAGTTACATTTAAGGAAAGGAACGGGGAGGTAGAGGAATTCTTTTCTCTCATCTTGTTACATGCAATTTGGGCCAAGGAATCTTGGTTATTTTACTTTCTTATCGCGAAAAAAATTGTGGTTTCCTTTTTCACTTTTCAGGTTAGAGGCAAGAAAAACTCTTCCAAAACTTTTGAGTGGGGGCTTAGAGAAGACTTTAGCCGTTCTTTTCAGTGAAATCCTCTTTTTGGTTCTTCTTCAATACATTTTTTTTTGTTTCTAAAGTGTACCCAAGTATGAGTAAACTATGGTTTGTGCAAGATGATTTTACATAATACTTGAGATGAGGAAGTCGTGTTGTACATAACCTGTCCTTCTCCCTGTGCTCTCTCCATACCCTATAATAGGTTCCTTCATTCTGCTCTATAAATCTATTTCCAATTTTAATTTCCATTAAATTTTCCATAAGCCACTAACACATATGTGTGATATGTCAGGAAGGATTAACAGTGTCTACTTAAGTCATTCTCTGTAACAGTGTCAGGGTTCATGTCTCCATTAGAAGAGACCAAAATTACCCCCGCCCCCATCTTCATTTTTTCAAGAGGCTGGTCCCTTTTTATGATTGTTCATTAGGTGACTCAAGAGGTTTCCATATCACAACGTTATAGGCTATGTTATTTTTGAAGAATCACCTGCCTGTCTATTTTTGGCCAAGATCCAATTTTTAAAATTGGGGTTGTTAGACCCATCTCATAGGTTTGACTTGGCCTCTTGGCCAACCTAGTCCGCAGACTCGAGAATCTAGTGAGTCATTAGACATTATGATCTACCATAGAATAAAGAAGCAGAAGAGGCAAAGGCAGGGTTGGCAGTGTACCCCCCGCCCCCCATGGTTAAACCTCATGGTTCTTCAGGCCCTTGTGAAGTATGTGGCCAATCTCACTCCACCATTTTTGACACCTAAACAGAAGAAAGCCATTTCAGCTATACTAGTAAATAATTTGGGCTCTTAGAGATCTGAAAATAGAGAGTCTAATCAGGAGATGGTTTTTTTGGTGGGTCCTTGTTTCTCTGAGAAACAGATGTTATGGGAACCCAGTGAAAGCCACATCCCATTGAAGAAGGAACCAGTTTGGCTGGGCCTGCTTGTAATTTCCCCACAGGTGTGTTGTGAGGTTTAATGTGGTAGAGCACGTTTGTCGTTTTAGGTAAATGGTGCTCTGTGAATACTCAGTCATGCTATTTTGTAGCCTTAGTCATGATTTGAGCCAGTCCCTTCCTTCTGAAATGAGGATGAGTCCTTCGTGATAAGCGGAATAAGTTGATAAGATAGTTTATTTCATGGGCTGGTGGGCATATCCTACTCATGGATGGATAGCAATCTCCTTCATCCCCTATGTTGAGGTTTGGGTTACAGTTTTTTCTTCAAAGGCGTCCAAAGTGGTACGTGGACACCTGCTTTCTTAAAGGGTGGAAGGAAGATCAAGTGGTTATTGGTTTTTCTGTTTAACCTACTATTTTTTTTTTTTTTATTGTTGGGGATTCATTGAGGGTACAAGAAACCAGGTTCCACTGATTGCATTTGTTAGGTAAAGACCCTCTTACAATCCTGTCTTGCCCCCCAAAGGTGTGGCCCACACCAAGACCGCACCTCCTTGCTCCTTCCCTCTCTCTGCTCTTCCTTTCCCCACCCCTCCCTCCTTCTTTCTCTCTCTGCTCACCCCTTCCCCCACCCCCACTGTGTCATTAATTGTCATTAATTGTCCTCATATCAAAACTGAGTACATAGGATTCTTGCTTCTCCATTCTTGTGATGCTTTCCTAAGAATAATGTGTTCCACTTCCATCCAGGTTAATACAAAGGCTGTAAAGTCTCCATTTTTTTAATGGCTGAATAGTATTCCATAGTGTACGTATCCCACAGCTTGTTAACCTACTATTTTAATATCCTCTAGGGTGCTATTCTCTCTCTTTCTGCTACTCCACCGGCTCCTGTTATATCACATGGAGATTAGCTTTGTCTAGAAAGAGAACTTAATTCGGAAGGGGTGAAAAGCCTTGCAGAATTTTTCCTTGGTTGCTGAAGTCTTTACTTTCGGTGACATCACCTTGTGAGTTTTACGCATTAGGCCCTTAAATCTGTTACAAACTTTGAGCTTCTCAGGTGCTTTTTGTTTCCCATAAGACCGGTGACTTTAGGCTACCTGGGGGAACATCTTAGTCCTCTGCGGCTTCTCAAGTGGGCACAGATGCTCCAAGAGGGAAGAGGAATTTTAAAGCAAAAAACTGTTTTAAGAAAACAATTCTGGAGGCCAAATCCTGAAGATGAAGGTTCTGCGGTATCCCTGAGCAATGGTTCTAAAGGAAAGCTCTATGAAGACGCTTAAGAAGGGAAGCAAGCCTGTTATTTAACTGTACAACTCACAACTTCGCTGCTAGTAGAGACAGCACCGTTCCTTTAATTCCAGTGTTGGCCTCTAACTGCTGGATTGCCTTTTTTTTGGGGGGGGGGATACACTCTTGGGCCATGTACACAGACATTGTAACTCTTCTATCTTTAGTACATCTTGGTTAATAAACTTTTTTGCATCTTCTGGCGACCTTTTGATGTTTCAGTCTTCACACAGAAGATGGCAGTTGTCACGTGAGAGAGAGGGGGGGTTGTGGTTTTCAGTGTCACCCAACTAGTCGCGTCTGAAATGTACCCCCGCAAGAACCTGGAGATAGCTGAGTACAGGTTGAGTAGCCCTCATCTGAAAAATCCAAATTCTGCAGTGCTCTGAAGTCTGAAACTTTTTCCGTGACAACATGACACTGAAAGGCTTTGCCTGTTGGCACATTTCAGAGTCTGGATTTTCACATTAGGAATACTGAACTATTATTCCCAAATCTGAAAACATCTGAAATCTAAAACACTCTGGAGCCAACAGTTTTTGGTTAAGGGATACTCGAAATTGCATTAATTTTTTAGGAGTTTTGTGAGCCAGTTGCTAAACTGATGACCGCTCCAAACAGACCATGGTGGAAGTATTTATGCTGTGGACATTGCTGGCTTATTAGCACACCACTTCTCAAAGGCCACGTAGCATAATTGTTAAGGCGAGCTTAACAGCTTTTCAAATGATTCAGACAAGTTCCTTGAGACTAGTCCATGCTTACGATCAAGCCAGTTGGGGTTGAAGGCGTGTACATTGAGAACGCTTATTTTAAAGTAGTGATTAAAGACAGAGAGGTATCTTGAACTGCAGAAGCCTTGAACTCTTATCTAAGATGTCCCAGTCACCTCAGGGGCTGTCTAGGGGGAATAAATTGCTGGCTGCATTCTGGAAATGTTGATATCACAGGGTCAGAGGAAATCTACAAGAGTTGGAGGATGGGGCAGGCAGTTTTGGAAGCAGGGATTGGCTGGTTGCCTGGCTATGTAGTTCCTCTTGTGTTGGGAGAAAAAAGTAAGAAAGGCTGTTATGCTTTAAACACAGAGCCAGATGTTTTTTGTTAATTTTAAAATGTATTGTGTTTTCTTTGCATGGTTCTGATGTGTGCCTGATGTCATTCAAGATCCTACCCTCAGAGAGCTTATAGTCTGGAGGGGGAGCTGGTACCTGCAGAGGTCTGGGGGGGGGGGGGGCGAGGCTTACCTCTGTGAATTGAATTTGTTAGCTACTTCTTTTTGGAATGACAGCGTAAACAAAATTGGGTAATGGGGCCAGACCACTGAAATGAGAACCTTGGCTTGGAGGTTCCTGTTTGCATCTCTGCAGCCACTTCAGAAGGCACGAATTTGGTTTGCACCGAGCCTGACAGAGAGCAGAAGTGTCACCAGCTGGGCTTGGGAAGGGCAGCTGGGGGAGAGTTCGGTGCTCTGCCCGTCCTGGGGGCTCTTCATCGCCTTCGTTGTGGGTAAGCAATTGCTTTCTGTTTTTTAAGCCATTTTGTGGACTTTTCCTCACTCAGGAGAAGGCTAGATCTGAAGGTTGGTTCTCACTCAGAGGAAGGCTGCTTTCATTGGCAATCTTTTAGGGTTGCGAGGGGTATGATTTCTGTGGGAGGATACCACAAGGTAGTCTGGTGGGTACAATTTTAGTTTCTAAAGTATTGAGTAACTTATGTTAAGATTTTCAGAGAAAAGAGGAGCAAGGTTTGCTCATAATAAGACTTCATGATGACAATGACAAAGGGCTTTAGCTTTGAGTCTACCATGACTTGTGGTAGAGCTGTGACTGGCTGTCCCTGAGCTCAAGGCAGAACTTCTTTCTTCACTGTGTTTCTTTTTTATTTTTAGAAAAGAGTATTTTATTTTTTAAATAAGTCTTACTATATATATTCAAGGTATAAAACATGATGTTAGGGGGACATGTAGATGATAAAAAGGTTACTATGATGACACAGATTAACGTATCCATCATCTCACATGGTTACCCTGCTGTGTTCCTTCTCCCCATTCTAGACAAGTCAATATCCAAGGTTTAAAAGCCAGGAACTTAACCTTCCTAAAAGAACTAGGCTATCTTCCATAATTGTCACACCTCGACAATAGCCCTGACCTCAGGAAAGACGGATCTAGGAATGACCTCCATGGTCCCATTTGGTAGAAGTTAGACTGATGTAACCCAAACGGTGTTACAGAAGTCATGTAACCTCCTAGCCTGTATCCAATGGGCTGGGAAGGAAAATAAGGGCACATTTTAAGAGGTTCATGCCTCAGAGTGGTTATGTGGACTTGCATACCTAAAAATATCTGAGAGCCCAGAGGTGCACAGCAGCTTTTAGAGAGACAGAGGAGATTTAGCTTTCTAGGCAGGGCAGACCAGTGAGCAGAGGACGGCTGTGCACTAGTTCTTTCAAGGGTGGGTTGTTCTTAGGAGGGGCAGACACCGGCTGACTGAGAGCAGCTCTTGGTTACTTTGTCTCCTAATATTGTAACATTCAGAGGTTAATTTCACATCCTGTCTGATGGTCTCATTACCATGGGTCTCTTTTTTTTTAATGTCATAACAATGCCAAGAATAACAATGACCCCGCACTATTTTTTTAAAAAATTTAATTGACACATATTAACTGTACATATTTATGGGGTACATAAGAAGGTTTGTTATAGGTGTAGTGTTCAAATCAGGGTAATTACTAGCTCACCTATCATCTCAAATGATTATCGTTTCTTTGTTTCAGAAACGTTCAATATCCTTCTACCTATTTGAAACTATGGAATATATTATTCGCCATCCTACAGCTCTGTAGAACACTAGAAATTATTCCTCCTATCTAGCTATAATTTTGTATCTTTTAACAAATCTCACCCTGTCTCCCCTGCCTCCAGCCTCTAGTATCCCCTGTTGTTCTGTGTTTTACTTTTAAGAGATCAACTTTTTTTTCGCTTTCATATATGAGTGAGAAGTGGAATGTTTAACTTTCTATTCCCGCTTATTTCACTTAGTAGAATGTCCTCTAGTTCCAGCCACATTGACACAAATGACAGGATATCATTCCTTTTTAACGGCTGAATAGTATTCCATATAACCCCCCCCCCACACACACACACACACATCCAATTCTTTATCTGGTCATCTGTGTTGGCCATTGAGGTTGACTCCATATCTTGGCTGCTATTAATATGAATAGTGCTTCAATAAACACGGGGGTGCCTATGTCTCTTTGATATGCTGATTTCCTTTCCTTTGGAAAATGCCTGGTAGTGGGATTGCTGGATCATGGAGTACTTTTGCTTGTCATTTTTCAAGGACTCTCCATACTGTTGTCCACAGTGGCTATCCTAGTTCACATTCCCACAAAGAGCATAGGAGAGACCCCTTTTCTCCGCATTCTTACCAGCATAGGCTATGTTTTGTCTTTTTGATAATAGCCATCCTAACTGGGGTGAGATGATATATCCCTGTGGTTTTGATTTGCCTTTCCCTGATGATCAGTGAGATTGAGCATTTTTAACAACTTTTTTATGTTTGTATATATTTTTTATATTAGGAAAGAGTCATGAGCTCACATCAAAACATTTGGCCACCATATGAAATAATTTACAATGGAATATTATGTCAGGAACATCTGCTGAGGAGATAAATCAGGCTTTGAAAAGAGAAGTAAGCAGGGTAGAAGTTGAGCATTTATTTATTTATTTTTGCAGTTTTTGGCCAGGGCCGGGTTTGAACCCGCCACCTCTGGTATATGGGGCCTGTGCCCTACTCCTTTGAGCCACAGGCGCTGCCCTATTTATTTATTTTTTTAGAGACAGAGTTTCAGTTTGTCACCCTCGGTAGAGCGATGTGGTGTCACAGCTCACAGCAACCTCCAGCTCTTGGGCTTAGGTGATTCTCTTGCCTCAGCCTCCCAAGTAGCTGAGACAACAGGCACCTGCCACAATGCCTGGCTATTTTTGGTTGCAGTTTGGCTGGGGCTGGGTTCCAACCAGCCACCCTTGGTAAATGCAGCTGGCACCCTACTCACTGAGCTACAGGCGCTGCCTGAAGTTGAGAATTTATATGACGTCAATTTTCAAGGTGCTTAAGGTCCTTCTGAGTGCTTTTGTTGGATTTTTCAAAATTGAAATTCATTTTATTTATGTGTATATATGAAGTCACAATCTAGTTATTCAGATATATACATACACATAAAAGCAGAGTTGGGAGGGCAGTGCCTATGGCTCAAAGAGTAGGGCGCCAACCCCATAGACCGGAGGTGGTAGGTTCAAACCTGACCACGGCCAAAAAACAAAACTGCCAAAAAAAAAAAAATGTAGAATTGGTATATCTCTCTGTGTATGTATAAATATAGATAAGAATTTCCAAATAGGGAGGTGCGTGTGGCTCAAGGAACAGGATGCTGGCCCCATATGCTGAAGGTGGTGGGTTCAAACCCCGTCTTGGCCAAAAATTGCAAAAAAAAAGAATTTCCAAATATTTGACAACTAACTAGGGAATTTAAACTTGATTAGCGCTCTTGGTAAATGTTCAAGGTGTTATGAACTCAGCCGACAGGTGGTTACTAAGCGCTTCCCTCTACCTTACACCTTGCTGGCCCTGGGGGCGTGGTAGCCCATAGGCACCCCCTTGGCATCCTGGACTTTCTAGTCTTGGGGGTGGAGAGCAGGACCTTAATCAAATGAGCACAAAAACTAAATGGATAATTAGAAATTATGACAAATTGCCTAAAGGAAAGATACTATTAAGACACGTGGCTAGGGGATCTAACCTGGGATAAATGATTAAGGGGAGGTTTCCTGATGAAATGACATTTGAACTTGAGATCTGAGCGATGAAGGGGAGTTAACTGGATGAAGGTGTGAGCAATGGGGCTTAGAAGAACATTCAGATTTATCTTGTAGGGATGAAGTTCAGAAAAATGTTGATAATTTTTACAAACATGGGGAAGCAGTACACAGGGTCGCGAAGACCAAGGTGGGGTTCAGAATATCTGGGTCTGAATCCTGGCTCTGCCACTTGCTATTTGTTCTTAGGCACAGTTTCCTCATCTGTAAAACCTCATAGGGTGATGAGCATTAAATGAGTTAATATGTAAAGCGCTCAGATAGCGCCTGCTATATGGCCAGGTCTGGTTTAACGTGTATCAACTGCTGCTTTAATAACTAGGAAAAAAAATCTGATCCTTTAATGTTAAAAATGAGGTTGAGTGATTTCCCAAAGATCAAAGAGTTAGTGGAAGGTCTAAGCCCAGAAGAGAATTTTTTTAAAGCTCCAGGGTTTTTTCCTGTTAAAATCATTGCTTTTCTCTTCATTCATAGAGTTCAAATGATGCATTTGACTATTTAGGGCTGCAAATACCTTCTGGTCATCAGATGGGAGGTTTCTTAGGATTTGTTTGAAGATGGTTTGGGGTGTTGCTCTGAGCAACTCAGATTTCATGAGTAGATTCAGGATGTTTTAAGAATCGCTGGTTTCCTCTCAGAGAGGAATGGCGGGGTTGCAGGAAGCCTTGAAGTTGATTTCAATGTAATGGCCACATTGGCAGCCGTGAGCATTCATCCAGTGTGTGCCAGGCCCTCTACAGGTGCCACAGCACAGAAATGGGATGCAAATATCACCAAGGGACGTCTGCCCTTGGGAATGTGCAGACATGAGGATCAGAGAAGGGAATACAACCAACTCCCCGGACAAAGAGTCATTTAGAAGGTGAAGGAGACCTCAGAGATCCCAGCTTTGATTAACAAACATTAGGACATGCTATAGAGGAAGTTCTTTTTGACATTTATCCATATATGGGTGGGGATGAGGTGGGCAGGTTGGAGCAGGAGTAAGGCTTTGGCTATCATGAGAGAGAAATCTCTGTTTTCATTAGATGTCCTTCTGTTTGGGGAAACTTAATGTGAGGCTTTGATATCAGGATCAGTGTGATTATTATCGACATTGGTACAACGGGGTTCAGAAATGGAAACTTACAAGTTTCCATTTCATTCTGATTCATCCTGTGTCTTTTTTTTTTGAGACAGAGTCTCAAGTTGTCACCCTCGGTAGAGTGCTGTGGTGTCACAGCTCACAGCAACCGCCAACTCTTGGGCTTAAGTGATTCTCTTGCCTCCCAAGTAGCTGGGACTACAGGCGCCCGCCATAACGCCCAGCTATTTGTTGTTGTTGTTCTAGCTGGCCTGGCCGGGTTTGAACCCGCCAGCCTCAGTGTATGTGGCTGGCTCCGTAACCACTGTACTCCGGGTGCTGAACTCATCATGCATCATTTTTATAGAGGTAGGAGTTCAGAATCTGAAACATCCCCTAAAAACTACAAAGTTTGTTTTTTGTCTGACTCTTAGGTTATACAAAAATAGGATCTTCTATGGTAATACTTCCTATTTCTCAAAGCACTGTCACTTACATTATTATGCTATCCTGGCATTATTAACCCCATGTTATAGGCGAGGAAATGACTTCTCTGCATAAGTGAGACCTAGGTTAGGAGCTTCCTTGAACAGTTTGACCCTGATTTTCCAGGTGGAGGATTTGGTTGATTAGAACACAGGTAAGGAATCTCTCAGGCAATTAAGTTTTACAAAGTCAAATGGCCATTATATGTGCTTGAGGCCCCAGCAGAGCCAGGTGGGGTACCTTGATGTTAATGCAATAAAGAGACCTTTCCTCTTAGCAAATATGAGGTGGGAATTTCTCCAGTGGCAGGGGGATCAGGGGTACAGGGATCATGGCTAGGACTAGTGCAGTAGTACATAGGAACCTGAGATGGTAGCGTTGTAACTCCTTAGAGTTAGGGTTCTTCTGTTGAGCTCAGGAAATGTGGGGGCATTGTGTAGATAGCAAATTCCTTTCCAGGATCTGGGGAATGCAATGAAATTAATGCCACAGAGATAATTATAGACATTAAAGAAATACATTTGCCCACATACACCCTCATTCTCATTCTACCTGTGCTGCCTTGCCTTAAGAAAGTTTTTAGATAAAGCTTACCATGGACCTTTCATGAGGCTTGTGTCATGGAGTTTGGTTAATGCCTTAACTGAGTTAAAAATTTCCTCTTATGTGCTGTATCTTCTTTCTCACGTGGCCTGAACACTCTTCATTTATCTAAAAGTAGAAATTCTGGCTCGGCGCCTGTGGCTCAAGCGGCTAAGGTGCCAGCCACGTACACCCAAGGTGGCAAGTTCGAATCCCCAGCCCAGGCCGCCAAACAACAATGATGGCTGCAACCAAAAAATGGCCAGGCGTTGTGGCGGGCGCCTGTGGTCCCAGCTACTTGGGAGGCTGAGGCAGGAGACTCGCTTGAGCCCAGGAGTTGGAGGTTGCTGTGAGCTGTGATGCCATAGCACTCTACCCAGGGGGACAGCTTGAGGCTCTATCTCAAATAAATAAATAAATAAATAAAAGAAAAGTAGAAATTCTCATTTAGTTGGAGAGATGGGTGAAAAATTAAGACAGAGTTTCCACCATTTTTCTTTCTTTCTTTCTTTCTTTTTTTAAGAAAGAATCTTACTCTGTCACCTAGGTTGAAGTGTCATGCCTCAACCTAGCTCAAAGCAACCTCCTATTCCGAGGCTCAAGCAATCCTCCCACCTCAGCCTCTCAGAGTGCTAGGATTATAAGCACAGCCACCTGGCCCGGCCCATCATTTTTCGTTTGTGTGAAATATGCACATTTACAAAATCTGGGGTTGTCATCTCGAGGACATCCTGTAATCATTTACTTTCTTTCTCTTGAAAAGTCATTTTCATCTATTCCTCCCTATGACTAATCTAAAGCTGCCCCAGGTGACTCTATAAATACCACTGTTTTGTTTCATCCTGGCGCTTACTGACATCTGGTATTTTCTTATTCATTCATTCATTTGCTTTTTTTTTTTTCCATCGTCCCACACATTAAACTGCAAGTGAAACAGAATTCCGTCTCCCTCCTTCAATGTGGTGTCTTGGCACCTCAGACAGAGGCTGGCCCGAATGGGCACTCACTATTGGTTTGTTAAATTAACAAACTTATCTTGCCATGATTTACTGATTTTTGTTCTTTCATCTTAAGATTGAAGAGTTGAGAGCAGCATGTGTTGCCCGCTGAAACTGCTCCTGATTCCAGTGTTACTGGGTAAGTAGAAGCCAAGGGATGGAGGTCGGGGGGTATTTGATTTCTTGCAAGTCTTTTGTATTTTTAAAAGCCAATTTCACATATTTTAAATTCCTCTGGATTTGTTGAAAATGAAAACCCTAATGTGGAACTTTGTAGTTTTGCTGAAACAGTTGTTTTCGGAGCCAGTTAACAGTTGCAATCTTGGAAAGCTGAATCTTCCCTGTTTTTCTTAGAAATAGAATGCCTTTGGGTCCAGATCGGGTATTCTAGGACCCTCTTCTGTGACACAAAGAAAGTTTCTCCATGGCATGCCTGTACTTTAAATTGCTGTCTTTAAAAATTGGTAACTTTGGCTTGACGCCTGTGGCTCAAGTGGCTAAGGCACCAGCCACATACACCTAAGGTGGCGGGTTCGAATCCATCCCGGGCCTGCCAAACAACAATGATGGCTGCAACCAAAAAATAGCCGGGCGTTGTGGCGGGCGCCTGTGGTCCCAGCTACTTGGGA